CATGCTAATCTTCCCTGTATCATTCCAATTCTAGTATATGTACTGCCAAAGCAAGCACTCTAGATGTTGCTGAGTATATGTTTGAATAAGACAGAATTAAAGGAGATAAACATACATCACAAGTTTTTAGAACACAGCACTACTTTGGGGATTTCTTTTCTTTCAGTAACTGGGAAAACATCAGTTAACTCTTACCCTAAGTCTGGATAGTGATGAGGAACTAGCCAAAACAAGGAAAACAGAACAACTGAGAGAGGGAAGAAAATACTTTGTTCAAGGCATCGGGTTCTTCTGAACTGTTGATCATGCATAGAAAGATTCTTCATCTTAGAAGAGGCTGCTGTAGTTCTAGAAATTTTATTTTTCTAAAAAAGAACAATTATGTGGAAATAAACCCCATTTCTTTACACTTTAGATAAAGAGCTTTAGAGAGTGAAGGATGACTTTTTTTTTTAGACTGGATATTACATATTCACAAAGACAATTTATAACTATAACTTCATAACTCTCTCCAACTATTCAGAAACTCTTAATTAATGTTACTATGAATTGCTCCAATGCTATATAACATAGTTATTAGAAACACAATTAGTATGGGCAACTTTTTCACTTATTAGGCTTTCCCTTTAAGATTAGCAATTACCAAAAATAAAACAAGCTGAGAAGTCTATGAAGAAAAAAAGTTCTGTTTTCCTTTTAAGCTTTAACCTGTAATGCTTTGAGACATAAGACACTGGTTTTATTCTCCAAACCAAAATGCTTAGGTTCTAAAAGAAATCAAGAACTTTCATTTTAGAATTTTTTTTGAATGTAGCGGTTAAATGTATGAATGTATGTAGTTAAATCTTATGAAACTGAAGAAGCTTTTCAACTGGAAATTTTTAAGAACTTGACAAAGCTAAAAAATAAAGAGAAGGCAACATGCAAGGCGGCTGAACTTGAAGTACATGGTTTTACATAGAAAAGGAATATCTATCTATCTATCATCTATCTATATGGCACTTTAGCTGTTCAGGGTGTAGTTGGCTATCAAATTTTATTAAAACCTCATCAAGAAGGAAATCTCAAATCACTCATTATGCTCCACAATTATTGTAAACTGAACAATTTAAATGAGAGGAAGAGATAATGACATTAACTTCTTAACTTACAGCAATCCTTTGTGGCATGACTTTAAAATATTCTGCTCTGAAATTTATGTAAATTGAATTCATCTGTCATTAGTTATTACTAGTCGAGCTACATTAAAAAAGTTTTCTGTAACAATGAGTTCTTAAAAACACTGCTTTAATTAGACCTGGGACATTATTAAAGTAGCTATAAATATGTACAGTACTTTATTTGGTATACCCAGGTGCCTGAAAATCAACACAGATGCCCTCAGAGTTCTTTCTCAAGAAATTCTTCTGATCAAAGCCTTTCACTTAAATTTTTAAGGTAATCTAAAATAAATAGCCTTTTCATATTCTACTATGTATGTAAGAAAGAATAACCACTGATACTCATGATACTCACAGAATTGAAACAGTATAGTTTACAACCCATAAACCTTAGAGAAGTAACCCATTTCTTAATTTTATGATGTCTATAGTTACATACAGCACTAACTTATAAAAGAGCTTGAACCAATTTAAACATAGTTTAACTGTTGGCTCACATCTTTTTCTATCGTATCATCCATGTACTATCTATCTATCTATCTATCTATCTATCTATCTATCTATCTATCTATCTATCTAATTGAATTCAATCCTCCCCACATCGCTATAGGTTATGTACTATCATTGTTCTCTCTCTCT